TCCTAAAACTGCAGGTCCCAAGTTCCACCAGCGAATATTGTCGGACCAAAAGTTTACTCTCGTTTGGTGGACCATGTGTTTATTCAAACAAAACAAATGAACACATAAAACTCGGAATCTTTCAGTCGGAAGATTCCTTCTCCTAAAGAAATCTCTTGTAATTGTCTGCTCGTGGTTTTCCTTTCCATAATCTCTCTGTTCTGTCGAACAGTTCAATGGGACTGCTAATGTTATTTTCAATTCCTGCTGTCTTGTGAAAATAATTTCTATTCACACCGGTAGAGTATGCTCTCCACTGCTAAAAGCTCTGAAAATACAAATAGAAGAGTTCACGATGCCCCAAACATCCGTTGTCAAACAGCTTTCCCGAAAAATCAGGGCAGAGACCAAAAGACTGAATGCTTCATTTGAAAAACAAGTTTTGGGAGTTGGAAATGAAACATGTCTGTGACAAAGGATCAGATTACTGTACGAACAGAAAAGACGGTCTACAAACAACACTATTGACGTGGACAGCAATCATGTTGCATTTATTTATCCTTCAAAGGATTTTCTGTCTCTGTATCCCACAGATTGTCTATCTGTCATAGACCCTGTCACTCACGAGGTCTACTACCTTCTAAAAACTGCAAACCTCACGCGGCTAGTAGGCCCAGACGGTCTATTTGCGTCCATGCTCAAACAAGGTGTTTGTTCACTCGTACGTTATTAATAAATTTATCGACACATTCACTTTCCGATTGCTGAAAACCTTTCACCATTGTTACCATCCCTAAATCGTCTTCATTCAGTAACCCGTCCAAAGGCTTCCATGCTATTGTAACCATTTCCTCTGGACTTAAACTAGCGGGTTGCACTTTCCTCGTTTGTTGTTTGGTGTTATTGTTTCCAATGGCTCCAATCAGTTTGCGCATAAGCCAGATAGATGTACTTTGGACGCTGTCTTCACTGATGCTCTATTTATAAGTCTTCAGACGGTCCTCGAAAATCCGTTTGTTGTGTATTTCTTGATTATTCTTCCGCTTCTGATTCCGTTCCATAATCTCTTCTTCTGAAAAGTTACATTCATTCGGTTGCTACCCCATTTTACTGTCATGGTTAAAATACTATTTCCTAGGAAGGATTCAGTGAACATAAGCAAACTGTACGATTTCAAAACCGTTAGTGAATAATTCTGGAGCCCTTCAAGGTTCTTTGCTATTTTAATACTTATTTTCAACATTCATCAGTGACTTACCGTCTATCCCGCCAGCCAAAATCTTTAAATATGCTGATGATGTGATCTTATGCTAAACAATCGCAAATCAGCCTGGCAGAAGTATTTTCTGATAATTAAGCACGTGTGCAATTATTCCATAACAAATCTGGTTCCCAGTTAAATGCTTTGAAATGTTTCGAAAACGTTTTTAAATCTTTTGCAATCCGAGTATCCCTTGGAACCTTCAGCCATCATCTCCGCATCCATTAACAAAACACACCGCCAAACACCTACGAGTCACTATAGAGGGTGATCTACGATGAACTCTCATGTGCTAGCCTGTTTTGATAGACTGTGTCGCTCCTCCTTCTGGCTGCTCAAGCTACGACAATTTAGAGTGAAGCATTCAACTACACATTATTTTGTTTATCAGTGCATCTTTTCTGTCTGACTTTACCGTTTCCTGTTATTTTCCCTGGACTACTTAAAAAGGATTTCATTACTCTTCTTCGCGATTTGGTAATTATCAACCGTGTTTCTATTATTCCTTTAAACACTCTAATCACAAAATTGTTCGATTTTCATATTACTTCATGTGAGAATTTCACCCAAAAGAGTCTTAACTACCCCCAATTATCCGCTAAACCCTAATCTATCCGCTTACCGTTTCCACGCTACAACCCGATCCAGTTATCGTTGCTTATCCCCCGCATAAACATTTATCGCAAATCGACAGTACCGGATAATAAGGCCCTAAACGACTACTTGGAAGACCCTTCCATCTCAACAACTGTTGAATCTTTCAAGCGGAGACTTCATGGAACCCTGACTACAGTATGTGACAATTTATCATATTTTTGCCAAGGAACGACTCAATTGCGTAAATATCCTATGGAGTCAAAAGAAGCATGAGCTTGTAAGTAATTTCCATTACAAAACTTTAAATTATTATTCAATTCAACTAGCCTGACCAACTTTTCACGTTGTATCATGGTTATATATGGCTTTTCTCATTTTTTATCTCGGTTTAGCGGTGAACACAAATTTGGCTGAATTACAGGTGTAGTTGCTTACATCAGTCATCACAATGCAATATAAGTAGTAAAGTGGAATAAATGAGATCGATTTAATCAGAGCATCCCTCAGACTTCATCCTCAATTCATTTTGTCAGTCATGCACTCGGAAGCACTAAACTCAAATGTCGCTGGTCTTGGAGCACATCAGGAGAGGATATCCATCAATCCGCCAGCTATTTGAATTGCAAACTCAGCCCGGAGGACGTGTGTCACCGATGTGCCAATCAACCCACACCGATTAAAGCGTGTACAGATGTCGTCTTCAGTGACAGTCAGTCAGGTAATTTCGCTCAGAAGTGACAAAGGGGCACATAGCTTACTTTCGATGAACTGCGATCAAAAAACTCGCGTCAAATCAGATCTTCTTGGCAATTTCCGGTAAGAAATAAGGAATGTTTGCGTATCCCGCAGGGTTCGGTTGGCAGAAACCAAAATTATGCAACTCACAAGAAGCCTGCTCAATAACCTCTGATGTGATCGCCATTTCTCGAGTCTCACTTTAGTTAAATCCGTCAGGACGAGAATGCACATTGAATTGATGCAGTGATTTGCATACTCTTGTGACCCGGTAGGCTACTCAGAATGATGTTTCCCAGTGGCAAATTAAATCATATCTGAAAGTCATTATGTGAAGATCAGGCCAATTTTAGCCTCGCAAACCTCACTTAACGGGTAACCACTAGCTCCTTCCAACATTTTCAAGTGTAGAACCCACTAGGTTTGATCAAAACAAAACTAATTTACTGACCATAAACCAGATGTTCGTAGCTGACTATCTATTGCTGTTTGTCAATAGCGAGAAATATTTCATATCTCAGTGGACGTTTATCGCACGCAAAGACTTGCAGATCTCATGAATATAAAAAGAAGCGAATAACGTCCACATTTCACTGATCTCAGTATTTGCACGGGACTGAACATCAGTCACCAACAGTAGCGGGTCGATAACCCTATGAAAAACGTATCCTGAAAATCGAAAGGGAAAACTTCCATATCGGTTCTTTAATCAGCCTCCCCAATTTGATCTATCCTTTTATGGCTCCACATGAGTTCAAAAGCAGTTTTAGCGTTCAGTAAAGACAGAAGAAATGATACAATCCAGAGGGGTATGCAGTGTAACGCGGAAATGGAAGGCGACATTGTACCGTTGGGAAATCCAAGTAATTCGCATGGCATGTTCACTTTTCAGAGTAGCTACGTTCGGCCTCTATTTTTTTGCCTTATGACTGACTTGGTCCCACAACACACAGACACGCAGAAGGCTTGTTTGGCATTGACCAACTAGAAAAGCCATGATGTTACCACGAAACCCAGTTATTCGCGAATGGTCGAATGTATGTTGCAATAGTTCTAATTATCCTGCTATGTCATGCAGAGACAGTTGTCAAGTTAAGGAAATTAGCGGAAAATAATCAGCATATGAACCTTAATTCCTAAGAAGCATTGCACAAATGGAATAGAGGGAACTGAAGATGCATCACCAAGTTTAGGCGAGTAGTTTTAGGTGATTGTCACTAAACGCTAACATAGGTCTTTGAACTCCATAGACTGATTATGCTACTCACTTCTCCTGATTGACTTTTTCTATTTATCATGTTTGTAGAAGCAGTTAGTGTTCGGAAGTCAGGTCTCCTAATTAAAACCTCGGGCGGGGGACATAGGAACCTCGGCTGCGAATCCTGGTTGGACGCTTCAAGATAAGGGTCATCTATTTTTAGTGGTACTGTCGTAAACAGCAATGCTTAACCGTACATGTACTTTCTCCGCAGAGTAATTTTTCTCTTATTCGAAGCATTTATCTCAGTGGTATTTTCTGTCCCTTATTTGCACGTAATACTGTTTAATTAGTTGGCCACGTAGATTGCCAAAAAGTACAACTGAAAGGTGGGCATGGAGTGGGAGGATCAGAACTGGAGACAACCTTTACGTATGGGAGAACGTGGTTTCATGATTGTTGAGACTTTTTGTCTGCAACAGATCCCGTCTGACTTCGATATATCAAGTTCAAATTGATCGAATGAACAAAACAGGCGTATTGCCTGCACAAAGCGAAAGCAGGCAAAATAATTTTGTGGGGGCTTATTCAGATTCGAGCATGATCAAACCTGCAGATTAAAATTTTAGTGAACCATAGTGATCCGGGTTCGAGATTCTGTTGAAGGTAACATTAGCAGATTGATACTCCCCATAAACAAGTCTGAAAATTGCTAAAACTCAAAGGGTCAGGAACAACGCATTATAAGACTAGAAATTCGCGCAATCTAGAACGAATGAGATGCTTTCATCTGACATAAAGTTCTATTTTGTGTATAAGTACTAAACTGCATCAGTCTGTTTCATCACTCAGCTGATTATTTAACGGAACCCTTTATAATTGATGAACAGCAGAAAGGTGGATTTGTTTGATCTACATCATGATGATTATTGGCGAATGTCAGCTGCTTTTCTTTTTTTGTCTCTACAACAAATTGATGGTGTGTTGGTAGTGGACCAGCAGATCAGACTAGTTAAACTTAAATCTGAACAAGCATTTGGACGCCAAATTGAATAGGTCTGCCCGAGACTTCGAAACGGGTAAATGAGCAAAAAATCTCGTACCGACATCTTCTGTCCGTAGCGAGGCAGAATTACAACTGAATAAGCTCTAAATAGATGAAGACAGACATAATAAAGATGGCCGTACACAAAATAACGTGTGCCTTATCTGACGTGAGAAGAAAAATGGCTAGCACACTCGTTGATTCCATTGCAAGTTTGGTAGTGCTATTGGTTTCAAACCATGGCTTGGAGCATATGGATTGATTTGAATACCGGTTAATGTTGGTTTCGGTTCCTTGGGTGAGCATACATCCGATTTCGTACTTGTAGTCATGGAGAGTTTCGATTTTTCTTCCAAACTCTCCATCCATTGGCTTATCTTCATTGAAGCGCTTTTTGAGCCCTTATATTTACCCAAACATCCGACTTTGTAAATTCCCTTGGCAATTCGATTCTCTTCGGCTCGGTATACCATCTCTTCATTCCAGTCACCCAAGCCCATGTTGATATCGAACTGCAGTAGTTGGGGTCCACGCATCCATGGAGTCAACGCAGTGATCAGTTCATCCAGACTGTAGTGAACCTGGATCATGAGTGGTCTCTCACCGATCGAACAACGAGCTGAATGACTCACTGCCTCAGATATTGAAAATACGACAAGATGACAGGCATGGCAAGTATACGTTTCAAGCAACGCTGAGGGTTGAATAAATAATCGCTCGTATCGTTCCCGCTTCGGACACGGATGGGATAAGAACAGATCGAACCACCGGAATATCTCTTTACAACAACCGCACATAAACTTCGTTTGACGTGCAGGCAGATAAGGATTAGATGCGACTTCAATGGTCCAGCGCTTTAACGCAAGTCGAATAAGTTCCGGCGTATTCAGACGCACAAATGTAAAAATAAGAGCGGAGCAGGATTTGCCATGTTCCACACAATCTTCTAGACATGTGAATAGACAATGACAATCCGTACAGAAAAGCATTAGCTCCAGATGTGCTGGAGTGATGAGTTTGCCAGCCACACAGGGATGGTAGAAATATTCAACAAGACTTGGCTGTACGAACCCGCAAACGAAACAATTGACCGAAAGTTGCGGTCCCGGAGGTGTTGGGGTAGGCGAAAGTGGTGGGCCACCGGTGGGAATCCCAGGATCCCGCTGTTTAAATGAAGCTCCGTGATGCAAATGGTAATCAAATTCGTAACAGTGTCGTCCTAGGACGAACTGTTGACAAGCTAGCTCTGTCAGACTAATGTTTAAATCGACGCAGAATGCGCGATCTTCACGACAATAAGGCAGGTGTTGGGCATATTGTTGCTCGTTGAGAAACACATAACGGCAATTGATGCAGGTTTTCAAACGTCGAATGACGGCTGGAGGAAGCAAAGCAAACTGGAAGCACGAGTGAAGCAGATAATTGATTTTTGACTTGAATTTACTGCTACATTTGCTGCACCTGATCGCGCATTGCCAGTCAGGTTCATGTGGCTTGCTTTCCCAATCGACTCTTCTTGCCCAAGCCACATAGAAGTCAAAATGATCCGGGTAATAGATTGGCAAAACCTCCTCCACTTCGCGGTATTTTCGTGTAAAGCACAGTTTATGATCATTACATTCATGCATTGCGTAGTCCGCGTGCGAGTAGAATATCTGGTTACAAGTTCGACATGCGAATGCTTGTGTTTCACCCAGATGGAATCTGGCTTGATAATACTTCCGCCAGCAATTATGGGCCATGAACTGAGGGAATGTACAAAGCGTTAGACGGCAACTGGGGCNTACAAAGCGTTAGACGGCAACTGGGGCATCGAAACTCTTTGAAGACGCAATCTGGCCATCCCTCACCAGTCCAAACCAGTTTTCGTTTCACACTCTTCAGGATAACTGGCGGGATTTCTTTATTAGCAAGGTCAGGTGACTTCTTGCTTCCCTTATCTTTCTTATTGGGTGATCCCTTCTTCGGCGATCCTTTACTGGAACCTTTGTTCTTACTGGGTGAGCTTTTAGGCATTTTGTATGAGGATTAGAAATTCATGCACATGGTTTTGCAGCAGTGCCCCTATACTCAGAGGCGATTCAAAGTAACTGATTCGAACGATAAGAATAGATCGATAACATGCTACACCAAATTGGCCTTTGCTTTAATACGCCCCAAGAGCTAAACAAACACATCCTACTTTTACTTCGACCAGATTTTCGCAAAAATACGTATGTAACGTAAACACATTTTTGATTATTAAAAAGGGAGGAGAATGAATGGAATCAAACAGTAATTTAAGGTTTTCTGGCTGTCTGACCAATGTAAAAGCCTCAGCAATCAAAACTGAAAAGAGAGGGTAAAAACAATATTTCCCCTAAGAAGGTAAGCGAGATGGATTAACCTTGGATATATTGTCAGGAGGTATAAAATGTTATTCTATGAAAATTGGTGAAGGCTTCTTGGACGTGATGGGGTCAACTAAGATAATATATAGATATCTACACCTAGTGATTTTATGTTGGAGTCTACGGTCAAAAGTAGACAAAGTTCAAGATACTTTCAAGATTAGTGGATAAGCTAATAAACTTAGACCATCGTCCAACGGAAAAAACGTGCCGTCGTAGCAGATTATCCTGAGAGTTACAGTGAGATATGCAACCAAATACAATGTCACAGCATACGAGAATGTAAAATTCGATGAGATGAGAGTGATACTGTGCATGCATAAAAACACTAGAACGATGAGGGGATAGCACTTTGGAGTAGTCTTCTATTGAATAGAACTACAGCAGACTTACAAACGTCCAAACACATGTACCGTGGAAAAACGGTGAAGTAACCACGAAGCCAGTTAGACAATGAAGGGGGAATTCATGACCATCTTTGGCATAAAAAAGTAAATTTCTGTCTGTGAGACTGAACGGATTTTCATACTCAAGGAGACAACCAAAAATGACGCTGTGTTTGGTCTCAACGGCTCAGAAAAGCAAACATGCCACGGCATTCATGGTTTGTACATGGTTTGTACAAAGTACAATACTTGTGCAAAACAGGACGATTGGGATTTTCTTGTTTTCTAGTCATCAGAAGTTATGTGAAAGAAAAATTTAGCGAAGCTCTGGACTGACCCCCACCCCTGTATTACTGCTACTGCCCGTTGTTAGCTGAACAAATAAAACTAAGGTAGTTGAAAAATCCACAAGGCAATATAAAAATTGTTCAGTGTATAAATATCAGTGTAGAAGTAAAGTGAAATTCACAAAACACCAGATAGTCATCATCATCATTGCACAGCGTAATACAGTGAAGCGACGTTCACCGGTCGTTGCTGAACAAATAATGCATACAAGGTAAGTGAGAATGCGTAATGAGGATAGGGATGGGGCCCATTTTTAGGGACGGGAAAAGAAAGCAGACCTCTATGATCAACACAGAGAGCACAGTATACACACGTTTTCAAGTATTCTGGTGTTATAAGGAGTATAGGCATGATTGTCACTGCTGTCGGTTTGCTAGGAACGTTGACTTTGTGTTTGCAGGGAAAGCACAGTGCTGGTTTCCTGTTTGACCGATGGCTGTGTGAGATCACAATGCGGTTGTTTGCACACTCTCCGAATATGGCGAGTTTTCCCGCACGCATGACACTTGCATTTCGGAAGCGGTAACTGGAGGGCAGGTGGTAAGCTCCACATGACAAACAGGGATTCATATGCTTATCGGTGCCTGAAGAGTCTTGCTGCCTCTTCGTTATATACTTGGCCATTGGAGGTTGGTTCGATCGTGTCTTCTGCCGTTACTATAATGTGACTGCGTCTCTGGAAGTAGCTTTCGTCAGGTCATCCTGTTGCTCACAGATTTTGCGGTCCTCGGCAAAAGTCAAATCCGTCTTCTCCAGCAACTTCCGTTGGAGAGTCAGATTTTTAATGCCTGCCACCAAGCGGTCACACATTTGCTCTTCCAAACGATCACCATATTTGCAGCGTGATACCTGTGTGCTCAGCTGCAGGATGAAGTCGCAGCAGGAAACATGATCGGTACGAATCGTGGAGTTGAATTTAGCCCTTTCGTGTGCTTGGAACTAAGTGGGCAGCAGGTGGTTGAGCAGCAACGACTTCAGGGACTCGTATGGTAGTTTAGCCGAAGCCTCTGGGAACGTTAGGTTTTTCAGCAGGGAGTAGAGGTCACGGCCACCAGCAGTAAGAAATAGGGCTGATTGATTCTGTGCACCACTTTTGCGAATACTGCACCACAGTTCGAATCGTTCCACCTATCCCTCGATCTCAGATGGGCTTGCCTGCAGGTTCAGTTGCTCGATAGTTGGGAGTTCCATCACGCGACGCCAATTTGTAGTGATCATAGTAGTAGTAGTAATAAAACGCACGGAACTGGGAACATGAACCACGCAATAGGAATCGCAAGGTACGAATCAAGGATCAGCTATCACGGACTGGAGTACGGAAGCGCTGGACCGCAATGGCACTAGCACGCAATATCCCACGTAACTGAGACGTGAGGAAAAGGCCACAGGAATGGTAGTTTGTAATTCATTTATTGAAGGAAATGAGGGCGAATAAATAATATGTACAAAAGAAGATCACTGGTTATCTAGGCTTCCGCCAATCATTTTGCAGTATTGCTTGCATAATTCTGCTTCTCTCTGCACTGTCTCGAGTTGGCTGGCGAAATCTGCCTATGGCCTTTAGTTAGAAGCCGGGACGCGTATGCACGTCATTGACGTCATCTTTGAAATTCGATCGATCACAGGTGTCCGAAAATTGTGCCGCGCTGCCCCAGGGTAGGCGTTATGTCGAAGGCCTGGATCACCACACTCAGCTACAACAGACGAGGTAGTCTGGTTTATTCCACACCAGCTGAACTGTTCGTTGGAGTACTTCGCCTATAGGTCAAGCCGCTATACCCCATTGTGAATGGCTTGTCTCCTTTTGTCGCAGGTTGTTCCTTTGACACGGACCTCCCGTGTTGCGTATCAGTTGAAACCGTCTTTGACTGTTCATTGACTCAGCTGCTGCTTCCATTTCACTAGCTACCGTTGTCCACCAGTTCTGATGGTCTTTTTTGAGGGTCTTCGTGAGCCGACGTTACAGACGTCACCTAACCCTGCTTGATCCCGAGCGGTCGGGAGTTGCCGTTTTTTCTCCATCAGTGCTACCGGCTGATCAGATATCCAACGCCTCGGACGGACCACCGCTTCAGATTGACAAGCAACCCTCGCTGCGAAATGCACTGCTCGTCTAATTGGATCCTATTGTTCATCTACACTACCATGCTGCAGCGCGTTTAGCTCTTGTCCTTGTTCTGATTCAAAACGGACACGAACGGCTCGGCCAGATAAACGACGATCTGCCGATCGTGTCTTCTGTGACCAGTGAATTGGAAAGAAAACTGCATAAAAACTAATACGTGATCAAACTCAAAGCAGGTGGTCCAAAAGGACCTGCAGTTTTTTTTACTGAACCACGCCAACGGTAGCTTACTGCTATGTAGTCTATCTGAGTTAGTGTGCCAGTTGAATTTCTGCGCCACAGTACTGTCCGTTGAGAGCTGCGTCGGAAGTTGGTGCTGGATAGGAACAGATGATGGTCTGCGCAGAAATGAAGAAGTCGATCGCCATTATCTGTTCGCTGGCAGGGCAGAGCCCAATGACCGCTTAGAAGAACTTCCGATGCGCTCAGTCTTCCAACTTGAGCGTTAAAATCACCCACGAGAACAATAAATGGGAGCTTCCACTCAACCGAATGAGTTCAGTGAGTTTATCATAAAACTC